AGAAGGAAATACATTGGGGGGTGAGTCAATAGTGCTGATGAGTTCCTATATCGTGTGTATGTCAAATTGCTTATTGTGCTTGTTTGAATTTCTCTGCCGAATATGAATAATCCAAAAGCTGCACAAAGATTGCTTAAACAATTAAATTATGGACTTATTTAGTTGCATATTGGAAGTATCTGATTGCTTTCAAAAGCTAAACTTCCTTTGCATGTGTTTTTGGACTAAAATGTTACCCAAAGCTGCTGGTTTATATTTTAACATTAATTTTATTTATTAAAAATAACAGGTAGTTCCTTGAACACATGCAGAATCATGTTTAGTTGCCTTATTTTTTGTGCCAATCATATATTTGTTGTAGTTGCTCGAAGATTCTTTTGAAGAACGTTTGGAAAAGGCTGGGGGCTTGCTTTTAGAGTCTGAAAAGGCAGAAGGGGAAACCAAAGAAGGGGACTGGGATGAGAATAAGGTGCATCCTCTAACAATTTTTTTGAAGTAATATGCTTGTAATTTGTAAGAGCATCTCCAAGGGAGATGTCAAATATCAAACATTAAATTTAAATTTGATGGCTGATATGGCAATTCGACATCTTACACAGCTTTACACTCCACCCGATATGTTAAATTAAATTATTATTTTATTACATTTTAGTGTTGATTTATTTCTAATTAAAAAGAAAAGAAAAGAAAAAATAATAAAATATTCATTTGACATCTTGCTTTTGGGATGTCAAAAATAACATCTCAACCTTCAGCCTTCATTCCACATCAGCTTTGACACATCGGTTGGAGTGATGTGAGATGTTATTTCTAGCCGTTAAATGTCTATGCGGCACTTTTGACATATCGGTTGGAGATGCTCTAACTGTTGCGTGTTGACTGATATATAAGTGGTTTCATTTTCTTTCTTTCATCTTTTTTAAATTTAAGTTTTATAAAAATATATATAACTTCCAAGGTATGGAGAACTGTCGTTGACTTCTGTTGTCTGTTTTTTGTTCAGAAAAAATCAATTGAAGGAGCTAAACAGGGTTCTTCAATCAAAAAGTTAAAAAAGGACAAGGCTGCCGGTGCAACGGGCAAAAATGCACGCCCTGAGGCAACCCCTGTCGCTACAGCACCAAGAGTCAAAGCAGAGCTTACTTTGCCAGTAATGTAGTTTCTGGGATCCCTTTCCCCCTTTTTCTTTTGAATTTGGATGTAGTTATAAGTAGAAACTACATTGTACATTGAGTTCCATGATACTAAGGTGCCAAATAGTTTAAATGGGTATAATTAAAATAGAAGTCGGTACAAGTTGAGATCAATCGAAATAGATAGCTTGACTTTATTGAAGTACTTTCAGTTCCATGCAAAGCTACTACATATATCAAATTTTAGGTTGAAGGAAAGGAAGTTGATGTTTTCAGCTACCTCAGCATATGAAGTTTTGATTGATTATATTATCTGACAAATATAACTCTCATGGCATGGGGTTATCTGAATTATACCTTAGAGTAGAAGCCAGCTATGGATTATTAGATTCTTAATACTTTTTAGATAAACTTTTCTTAAGTGAAGCCTTCCGCTTGATTTGATTTTGGGTTCATGGTCTGGGTATAGGAAACTATTGGTTCATGCTTAAGATCCTATACAGGTTATTGACTAATATTTTGCTGATTGCTTCAGTCCGACAGAGGTTGAACAGTCTATTCTTGAAGACTTGAGAAACCGTGTACAATTGAGTAGTGCTGCTCTGCCATCCGTCAGCTTTTATACATTTATTAACACACACAATGGGTAATGCCCTTGACTTCTCCGATAAACAATGAGTTCCATTTTCCAGTCCATTACTTATCTTTTTGTCCCACAATTTTCTAGTTTAAACTGTGCATCTATATCCCATGATGGATCCTTGGTTGCTGGTGGATTTTCAGACTCATCACTGAAGGTTTCATCTTATCTTTTTACTTCCCTAATGTGCAAATTGTTTTTCGAGCGTGTGCTAACGTAGAAGTATTCTTCAACAGGTGTGGGATATGGCAAAGATTGGGCAACAAGGTGTTGATTGTAAGTCAATAAAGTTCAGTTTTTATGTGAAGATTTTCTTTCATGTTCTTGACATATGCAAATATGCAATTATATTAAACAATGCTTGTGCTGCAGCTTTGCAGGGTGAGAATGGAACCACTTCAAGTGAACAAGTTCTTGGGTCAAATGGTGGAAAAAGACCATATACTTTGTTTCAGGGTCATTCAGGGCCAGTTTATTCAGCTACTTTCAATCCTCTTGGCGATTTTATACTTTCCTCTTCAGCAGACTCAACCGGTATGTTGTCCTAAACTTCTCTCTCTCTCTCTCTCTCTCTCTCTCTCTCTCTCTGTACCGATAAACTAATTAATGACAGTAAGAAACACATTGCTATGCTGCAGTTCGGTTGTGGAGCACAAAACTAAATGCAAATCTTGTTTGCTACAAGGGTCATAATTACCCTGTGTGGGATGTTCAGGTATATTTTCTTGAGTGAACTTGACATATCCACATTTCATTCTCATTTTCTAGCAACGGGTTTTAGATCTTGATTTCCTGTCACATGGGATGCATTTTCTTGCCTAAATCTCCACTTCAATGTACCTCTTTTAATCTTATAATTCTACTCCAATGGTATATCTTGTCTTCTTGTGCAGTTTAGTCCTGTAGGCCACTATTTTGCAAGTGCTTCACATGATCGAACAGCAAGGATTTGGTCTATGGACAAAATACAGCCTTTGAGAATAATGGCAGGGCACTTGTCTGATGTTGATGTCAGTATCTCTCTCTCTCTCCACTAGATGGCAATGTGTATGAAAATGAGATTATTGCTGTAATCTATTCAAACTTTTAGCTTCCTTCAGAACTTGTGCTGTAATCCTTCCAACCAATACTAATGAGTTGATAATTGTTATTCTAGTGTGTACAATGGCATGCCAACTGCAACTACATTGCCACTGGTTCTAGTGACAAAACAGTTCGATTGTGGGACGTACAGACTGGAGAGTGTGTCCGAATATTCATTGGTCACAGGAGTATGGTTTTGTCTCTGGCAATGTCACCTGATGGTCGGTACATGGCTTCTGGTGATGAAGATGGCGCAATCATGATGTGGGACCTTTCAAGTGGCCGCTGTGTTACACCTTTGACGGGTCACACCTCATGCGTGTGGACACTTGCTTTCAGGTGGATCATCTTTTTGTTATCTTAGCATAATTTTCGGTGTCTAGAAATCTGTCTAAACTATTATCCTTCATATTCAGTGGTGAAGGTTCGCTTCTCGCTTCTGGGTCTGCTGATTGCACTGTAAAACTATGGGACGTAACTGCAAGTACAAAGTTGCCAAAAACTGAAGAAAAGTGAGTGCTTTTTTAAGCGGGAAAGGTAGTTCTTTCTTTTTTAGGAGTTTCCTTAAACAAAGAGATTTCACTAACATGATGTTTTTTATCAGCAAAAGTGGAAATACCAGCAGACTGAGATCATTGAAGACTTTACCAACCAAGTGTACCCCTGTCTACTCGTTACGGGTAAATGCACAAATTGTCAATAATAATAACTTATCATTTTTAATAAATATAAAAAGAATTATTCACTTTATGTTGGGATTTTGTTCTGGGTGCAGTTTTCTCGAAGAAACCTTCTATTCGCTGCCGGGGTTCTCGCAAAAACTGTATAAATTACACTCACTCCAGGCTTGATCTAACCCAGTGTCTTTCGCATGCAACTGTGCATCACACCAAGTCTCGCAACCCGCCCTTCTAACGCTGCTCGGTGCTGGTCAGTCAGGCACCGTGTGAGTCATGAGACATAGAGAGATTGTGACAGTTACTGCTTAACTTAATGGTGAACATTCTTTGTTGGATCGATATTGCATCAAGTGTATTTTCATGTTCAATCTCTTACACGACAATGCTCAAGTAAACGATGACGAAGAACTCTCCTTCCCGTGCTCTTGTAATACGAAATTGATCTTTTCCACTTGTATTCATACCCTTGAAGTGATCTGTTAAATCCTTGGCAAAAAAAAAAAAATAAAGAAGAAAAAGAACCAAAAAAAATAGCCAGATAGAGTTTCCATGGCTACCCATACGGTTCTAAGTAAGGAATGAGAATAAAATATTTTATATGAAAAAAAGGTCAGAATATTTACTAGCAACTCATAATTTCCCAATTACTCCCAACCTCTAATTTAACAACCAATTTTGAAAATTTCAATTTTGTTTTCGTTTGGATGTGGGGGTGATTTCTTTTTGTTGGCGACAACGGATACTGGTTCAAGTTTTATTTTGGGCTCGGGAACTCATATCCAGCGGATGAAGTCAAAAAATATAGAAAAGAAATTGTCAGAAGTGGGATTTGAACCCACGCCCTCGTTAGAGGACCAGAACTTGAGTCTGGCGCCTTAGACCACTCGGCCATCCTGACTATATTACATTGCGTATATCCTGCACTCTTTTTGCTAAATATACATTCAAATTCTCAGGTGGATCAGCCATATCAAATGATAAGAAATCAAACCTAGGACTTCGAGTACAAAAGTAAATCACTATAGACTCCTTACAGGCTATAGTGTTCCAGTACTGAGAATCTCAATTGGTTGGTCACACATACCAATCTCTACTTGCCGATGTGACGGTGACACTCAAAATAATGGAATAATTTTTTTTCCGGTACCAATCTCTGCTTGTCTATAACAAGCCCCACCAAGATTCTCCTACTGCTTGCGTACACCTAATGCTCTCATGGTACACCTATTCACAATCACCAGCGTTAAATTTTTGTACTTTGTGCAGTAGTTACATAAATATACTCGATCAGTTGATTGATCAGCAGAGTCTGCATGCATGCTCATATTATTTTGGACCCAGGTAATCGGAGTCAAACCACCTTAATAATCAAACAAATTACTTTGACTTTCAGACAAGAAGAAAAACCCAACAGAACTACAATTTTGAAGGGCGCTTCTTATATATATTCAATAGGTAGTGGCAATAAAAAGCGAAGAAGAAATCATTACATATTCAATGAAGGCCAACTTTCTGCTTATTACTGTTTTCTTGCTTCTAAACAGAAAGAAAAAACACCTCCAAAAGCGAATTTCTTTACAAATCAAAATCAAAATAGATATAGACCCAAGTGGGTTTGGTCTGGTGAAAATTGAACGGGCTAGGCCACACATGTTGGGCGAATGTGATCGGGATCCTCAATGAGGTCCCGAGTTCGATCATCCACATGTGTAAATAACCCCTTGGGGAGAGATTTCCCTTAACCCGTGCCTGGCTCGGAGAGGTGACACTCCCTGCCACCTTTTTTGTGTAAAAAAAAAAAAAAAAAAATCAAAATCAAAATAGATATAAAAACAAATTGTGTTTTACATTACAGCTAATGATTTATAGACGAACTGTTTATAAAGATGTTGTTTTGACTTCATCCGCTGCTAGAGACAAGAGCTAGCTCCAAGGTTAACGTCCAACAGCACAAGGTGATTATTATTGATGATCATTCATAGACAGCACGGCGATAATATCCTGCAACATTTTCACAACGTTTCCGATTATGGTTCAAAATCATCATATAATTAACCAGCTCCTGATTAAAACCCTTCAATTAATTGTAACAATTAGCAAAACCAAATTAATATGAAAACATCTTAACAGAGACATGAAGGAATTTGGTTTTCCCCATCTTAACATGGACATGAAGCATCACAATGATATAAGAGACCGGGAATTATATACATGAGGACAGCAGAAACAAATATGTGTGTATATGTATTTTTATATATTTCATTTCTAATTTAATCTCACAGCTCAAAATTCCACTTCCTTAACACAAAAGCCTCACCCAGGAGTGTATAATATTAATGCAGGAAGTTTCCAATAGAGGATCTTGAATATAATTCTCTGAAGAAGAAAAAAACACCAATCTACAGCAGTAAAAGACAAAATAAACTTAAGTATATATGTTCTTGACTAACAAACTAGAAATAGGAGTGTAACAATTTATTCCTAATGCCAAAACCTCATAATTAAGTGATTCCAAAAATTCCCTTCCATTGCTATATATGTATTCCATCCTATTTTCCCATATATATATATATATATATATATATTCTTAACCTAACAACCAAACAAACTTCGAAATAACATATATATTCTTACAACTGATTTATATGATCTTCACGTTGTTTGCCTAAAAGCTTTTGGGTTGTGGAAGTAGAAAAACTAGCTAGCTCGGTTCAAATCTTAACGATTGTTAGTAAACGACATTCTAAGCATTACCTACATTGTATCCATATGTTATACCAAAGATAATTGACCAAGCTCTTTAGGCAATCATAAAATCATGAATAGGGAATTAAAACAAGAATTTAGCAGGAACATATAGTAAGATGACTTGGCTAGCTCTTATGTTTAATTTTGAGTTTGAAATTATAAGAAAGCTAGATTGCTTTTCCTCTTTAATTTCTTCCCCGTAGATTCTACCTTATTAATTCCCATCTAGAGCTTGCTATAATATTTCTTGCAGTCATTTCTAGCTCCTCAAATTACTTGTTTAGTAACTCTAGCATGATACGTACTGTAAGAGAAGTCATAAAAATAATTTACTTTGTTAAAAATGTGTATGATAAAGACCAATGAATTCACCACAGGAACAATCAATCAAAATATCACACATAGAATCGTGATTCCAAATCAACCAATTCGGATTCATCGAATTGTTTCAGAACCCTATAATATTATAAAACACTAGTCACAAACTACCTTTTTGTTTTTTTTAACAATAAGAGATTTTAAAAAGATATAGATAATCATCAACATCAATATCTCATGCACGCAAAAACCAAGCAAATAGAACAAAAGATCAGAAATGGAGACATGTAGTCCTTATAATCTTTTTCTAGGTCGGTGGGGCTTTCTTGTTTGTTTACGTGGTGTGGTTGCTTCAGATCAATCCCCAAGCTTTGAGCTGCTGCTTTCAGTAAATACATATCATGTGTGTAATGGTGGCACATCAACGCAGCAAAATGGTCCAACAGTGGCCATCACAGACAATGTAGGAGGAGCATAGTACCACCAAAGCTCCAACCCCCAAGCTTGGACCTTGATGCCAGACCATGTTATTGGGATGGTGAGCCAATTAGTACACAAGGAACACAACAAACCCAAAAGGAAGTGAAGCCAAAATCTCTTTTTGTTTGTACTTTGGAAGCATCTCAATCACATGTGGAAAAGATAAAAGATTATCTGCTCTACCCCCTACTGAATTTTGAATTTTACTAGCTTAGCTCCAAGTTAACTTTGACGACATATGTCAAACATGTTCACAAAACATGTCCTCCAACGTATAACTTCATTAGATAAGTAACAAGGGAAAATTAAAGGGGGAGCTGATCGTGGCCTTAATAGTTAGATGCCTAGAAACTAAGGGGGTCGAACTCCATCATATGCCTCGCATGTGCACGGGCAAGTTAGTTAAATCTGCTATCCATTTGCTAGAAAAAAGTTCACTGAATCATGCATTCATAGCACTGAAAAAGTGTGAATGAGTGCTTGTGTTTGGTATAAACGTGATTCTCTAACTTCCTTTCAAAAATTATACACAAACTAGTCCTCTTCAAGCTTGCACACCCAACTACTAATAAAAATATTTTGTTCCTATGGCCCAGACTGAAGTCTGTTGTCTATAAAAGAGAATTTAAAAACCAGATGCAATGCATCACAGCATAGAAGAACGTCAGAGAAAAGAACAATGACCTCACATCGCGTTATGTCTAGATACATGAAAATTATAATGGCAAAGAAAATTGCTAAAGAAATGTCATGAAAGATATGCAACAAACACTAACACAAAATTAACTAACAAGATATGGTTTCTTTAAAAAAAATAATTCTACCACCATCATACAAATTATATTAAGATTATATTATTATAGAGATAAAGAGTACAAGAAACAATTTAGGCCTTCCAAGGGCAAGCCACTAAAAATGGGTTCATTTATATAGGAATTTCACGATTACACTCCATTGCAACTTTAATTTAGACCCACAAGAAAAACCAGAGCCAACCAGATGTAATAAGGAATATTATTATTCTGAAATTAATTAAGTAATTAAGATCAATTAATAAAGTAATTAAGATCCATGCCCAAAACAACTTACCAGTCTTTCTCGGTTGGTTTGCCAAAAGCCTCTTTCATCTCGAAATTAATCGTCTGTCTGCATATGAAACCAACTTCACTGCAAGATAAGAACACAAGATCAAAATTATTTCATGATTGCAGCAAGTCACGGATTTGAGACTTTGGGTTAGGAATAGTTACCAGCGTCTAAGAGACACAAACATCAATCAAATCCAAATAACTAAAATGCATACGCAATAGATCGTATACATAAAATGGTGCAACAAATGGGCTACCAGATCAGCTTTGCTCACTGTAAAAACAAATTCAAACCTGTTTGACAAGTTATCTTCTGAGAGAAGACTTGATAATGTGTTGACGGTTCGAAAATGAATCCTTAAGCCTTCCTGCAAAATCAACTAGACAAACAAGTGACAGATAACAAAAGCAGATTCTTTCCCCTTAAATCATCACATTAAATCACAATATTTCGAGAAATATATATACACCCAATATGCAGTGGGTGTGAAATTAAGTAGCAGGTTCGATAGAAATCCAGATCAAAGACTAGTGATTGGAAAAACCATTTGTAATCAAATAGTACAAACAAGCAAAAGCAACCCTATTCGAGCAGCTAAATAGGGTTGTATAAAAACCCATAAAGAAAACATATATACATATATATATATATGTATATATCCATTCGAACTAGCTTGGTAGGTGCACAGTACAAGCACTAGATTCAGGTGAAGAAGAAAAAAAAAAAAAAATTAAGTCGAAGCAGAAGCAATTCTTGGGTCAAGAACATCGCATGCGCAGGAATTAAAAATGGAGATCAAATAGAGAATTAGAAAGACGATGAAGAATAGGAGGACCATACTAAGCTAGATAGATAACGTGAATGGTCCCATTCAAAATTCCCATTCCCATGCTATAATTCTATGCTTGATTACCAGGTTTTTGCCGCTAATTTCGCACAGTAAATATCAAATATATGTGTAGCTTCGTGAAAAACACCATCAAAAGTCACGCTTTCAAGGTATTAGTTGATGCTTCGATATTATCAAACAATTTTTATATAAAATATAATCATCACTTACCGATTTCAAAGTAGCAAATTAAGCGTTCCTTTGAAGCCCCACAAAGGCTTTAAGATTCAAGATTTGGAGAGAGAGAGAGAGAGAGAGAGCGATTACAAGTAGTGGAAGAAACACAGGCCATAGATGGATGAGAAGTAAATAAGAAATTAAATTAATCCGGCAGTGGAACTGGGAAGCTGACAGAAAGAGACATGAGCACGCAAAAGCAATAGCATACGCTTTATGCCAAGTGCCTCTGTGTGCTCACTCTCTTCTGTCAATTTCCATCTCTGTCCCAACCAAATTCACAACCAACGGCACAAGAAATTAAAGTCACAAATCGCAAAGTTTGATTAATAACAAAGAAATGAAGGGAGTGGAAACTGGGAAGAAAGCAAAACTAGAAAAAGGTAACCCGAGAGAAAGAGAATGATCGATATTATATGAGTCAGATCTGAGAACACAGAAAGAAACCCATATAAGGAAACCTACCAAAAACCGCAAAAATCTACGGTTCCTGCTGTTTTGGTGTAAAAGAAATCAATGGGTAAGACGCCAATGAGGATTTAGGGTTTGCTCTGCAGGCCAAGAAAGAAAATAAATAAAAAAGAGAAGCAACCTCCACAAAACCCAATACCAAAAAGCTGTGTACCCTTTTCTTCCCTCTCTCTGTCTGTCTCTCTCTCTCTCCCCCTCTCTCTTCATTCACTGCTACTGCTCTTACTTATGATCTTATCTCCTTCTCCACCTCTTTTTCTCTTTCTGCATCATGCAGAAGAAGACGTACAGTTGTCGGTGACACGTTGCCAGAGAGAGACCTGACGTTTCCTGAGCAACTCCACAGTGCTGAAACGGCGACCTTTCACCCCCTGAACAACCAAATAAGGAAAGTCTTGATGACTTGATGTTCGTGAGAGAGAGAGAGAGAGAGAGAGAGAGAGAGAGAGGCTTCTATGTTTATGGCTTTCGTTTTGAGCATGCGGCTGCTTTCTTATCATCGTGTTTATTGTGTTTGTGTGTGTGTGTCTGGAGGTTTTGTTGGTCTTTTAAGACAATTAGACAAAGAAAGAGTCCACCAAGCCTTTTCGAGAAAAAGAAAAAACCAAAGTGTTCATTAATATACGGATTTTTTATGAGGCGGAAAATTCGAAATTTAGTGTAAAAGGAAGAATTCACTGTTCTGGACATCTGGTCTAATCTCCCGGTAAAACAGACCCTAATTAACCTAAAAGATCAACTAAGAGGGACTCGTGTGTGTGTGTAGTGTTGTTGAGATTTGATTGGTTGTAACGTGTGGGTGAGTTGTGATGGATTTATAGCCGTCGATTTATACGACTGGGGTTTCAGAAGGTCGCCTAATCCCTGCCGTGAGATGGTGATGATGTGGTACTCTGGGGAGGAGCGTTGGGATGTCTTCTGGGAAATTGGGTCGTCAATAGACTGATAGAGACTGCGGCATTTAGGGAGACAAAGCTTTCCCTTTCCTTCTTTCGCCATGCCAACCGCCCACGTCCACCAATCACTATTGCCTTCCACAGGGCATAACAGTCACTCCGCCTAAATAAACAAACCTTTATATATTTACACCTTCACAGCTTCGTTGGCTTTCCGCTCTTACCGACACGTGCGTGGACGATTTGTAGTCGTCGATGCATTTGCCTGTGAGATTCATATTCATCACCGATTAAACAATCACTCAAGCACAAACCACCATTCTTACTTACCATTTTTCGTATCTTTTTTTTTTATTATAATCAAAGCACACGATATATATTTTAATGAGTTTGATACTCAACTTTTGATATGATAGAGCATCTTCAACAACTAGCTTTGTGATACTAAAATAAGTGAGCCATCAAGCAGCAACATATTTGTCAAACACTAAAACTGCAATTAATTTCTCTCTTTTAAAATTGATAGGTGAATTTTGGCTCTTAAAAACATTTATTTTTTGTTTTATTTATTTATTTAGAATAAGCGATAATTGTACTTATAACTTAAGCACTAAGACCATTAACCACAAGGACATAAACTACCTAAAAAAGGTTACTATAAGTGTGGAAGCCAAACAAGGTATATCTCCATTAATAGGGGCATAAAGCCAAACAAATTTTAGCATGAAAGCCGCAAGCCTAAACAAATTAGGCATGGACAACACCCAAAACTACCAATGTACTACTACAACTTCTAAACTCTCATAAGTAGAGACTCAAATACAAACAGAATGCCCAACTTACAAAAAAGTTGGTGTAATTATTACAACCCAAAAAATTGCAAACCAACCGAGATGACGAAAAGTAGAGTTGTCGCCGCCACCACCACGAAAACAAGAACACCATCGTCGAAGCCCAAGTTGAGGGGGATAACCACAGCCATACAAAAACCTACAACAAAAAAACACAAAACCCACATATCTGCAAAAAGAACCCAAACAACACAAAAATAAAGCCGCAAAACAAAGGGGCAACAGAAGGTAAGAGATATTTGAAGAGACCCGGGGCAACAAAAAACTAGATGAGAGAGCACAACCAAACCCTAAAAGGGTCATAATCACCACAAGTTCAACCAAAAAAACCAAAAGGAAGACAAGAGAAAAAGAGCGAGGAAGTGAGGGAATGAGAAGGAAGGAAGGGAAGGGGAGGAAAGATGTCTTTCCTCCCTCCTCTCCTAGGAATTGAGAGGGAGAGAAGTCCATAGTTTTCTTGCTATCTCTAAAACTCCTTTTTTCACACCTTCTCTCATATATACAACATTTATTTTATTTTGGATGAACACAACCGTACTTTGAAAATGCTAAAAACATGCATTTTTTCTTTTCATATAATAAATACATAGACTTTCTTAATATGTTTTAAAAGTAACCTACATTTAAAATGCTAAAATAACAAAGCTTGTATTAATTGAATTGAAAATTTTGTTAGGGCACAAATTATTAAAGTAGCAAATAAAAAATTTCAAATTGTCACATAGGTCAACAAACTACAATTTCAACCATCTATTTTGTAAATACTCATTCAAAGATCATCTCTACAAAAAATTACTTGAATCCGATATCATTTGACCACTCATTTGAGTTATAGAAATTTTAGTACTTTCTTGAAGCATCGTGTTCATTGATTTTGTAAGACACAATTGAATGTTGAAACGGTTTCTGATTTGTCTAATTTTTTGTAAGGATGATCTATGAATGAAGACCTTAAATATAGATGGTTTGGATCATTGGGAAAAAAATTGTAGGGTACCCTAAAGGGCGTCCCTCAAATAAAATTATTTTAGGGAACCCTCAATAGAAGGGGACTGTATATATATATATATATATATATTAAGAATATTTCCTATTGAAATGGGCAATAATATACTAAACTCACACACACTACACAAATACTATAACTCGAAATGACTACACTAATGGATTATTTGTGATAAGAAACAAATGAAAATATTGTATATACTATTAATTTGTCATTTTACACTTTTTTAATATCTATATCTCTATATATTTTTATAAAACAATCAGTTAATTTATTTACAATGGATTAGTCACAATTAGATATTAGACTTATTTTAAATAGGTATATCATTTACGTGAGTAATTTTGTAGTTAAATTGTAACGTATTACTGGGATAACATAATTAATTTTCTTTTCTTTAGCTTTTCTTATAATTTGACTTCATGATAAGCGGAGTACTTTTGTCATCGAATTTGATGAAAATAATTGGGTACGTACTAGTCTAGTTCCAGAGGTTGCAGAAAGCAATGTAAATATTGCCAGAAGATATTTGGACTAAGAACTCAGGTTTGGGTTCTGCTTCTTTTTAGGTTTTTGTATTATTGCCACCGGCGTGGTCGACGGGGACCAATTAATGTATTATACATTCAATTAATTGTGCCCAATTATAATCTCATTTATTATATTTCTTAATTTCCTTTTTATGGTAGTATGCTCATTTATTAGTAAGATGGTCAGCCCCAAAACATAAATTAATCCATAATACAATATGGTAATTTCAATTTCAACTCACACAAAGTGAAAGTTGGATTGGATACACCCTAAATCTCTAAGCATGATAGTATTTATAAACGTGAGTTAGATAAGTTGTCCGGAGTGTAAACTCACTTCGCTTATTTACAAACGTGATTTAGATTAGTTGTCCAGAGTGTAAATTCACTTTGCTTATTTGCAAACGCGAATTAGACAAGTTTGTATAAAAGAAGGAAAATTGCAAAATATGGTAGCCATGTAATTAATGTTAGTGAGTCATTACTTAGTTAGAATTTTGGTTACTTGCCCATTTATCTAGTCCTATTATAATTGAGACTTATTTCATATTATAATTTATATTTATTTTCTATTGTAATTTGGATTTATTTTCTATTTTATTTAGGATTGTACTTCTTTCTAAATACCTTCATATTGGAGAAGAATAAAGATTCGAGCATATATGAGCATACATGAAAATATGCCCTACTTTCTTTGACATGGTATCATAGGCCTAGTTTTCTTGTGACCTATGCTTGTGTTCCCCTTGCAATTTAAATGCTCTCCTCCCCTCATCTTCAAGATAGGATGGGGGTTAGGAATGAAAATGATATGTTTATTGATGTATCCCCATTACCTTAATGTATTCCTATGAAGATATAGCCTATTTTCTTGACTCCGACGACCCCTTTTCTTTAGGGGGAGAGGGAGAATGAAGAGAAGTTTTCGCTGAATTAGGAGGAATTCTCCTTTGTTATTGCCGTTGACGTTGATGTGTTTTGATCTATCTCTACAATATAAAAAAACCCTAACCCTAAACACTACCTATTTCCGATGCACTATACACCTAGCCTATAATCCTAGTGCGCCGCCGCCATCTACCTTTCTACCGTCGCCATTGCCTACCTTGCTACTGCCGCCATTGTCGCCAGCTCGGCATCCATCACCATGTCGAATATTGATGCCTTTATTTCTTCAATTGCTTCTGGTTCTACTTCATCTACTGCTTCTCCTACCCCTATTGTGATGGTTCATACTGAATCGTCCAACAACCTACTCTTTGGATTCAAATTGAATGGATTCAACTAAGCGACGTGGGTTTCGATGATCGAACTCTATGCTACTTCACAAGGAAAATTAGGTTACCTAACTCATGATTATGATGCCCGATATTCAAAAGATCCATAATTTGGAAAGTGGAAAAAAGATGATGCTACCATGAAAAGTTGGATAATGCACACTATGGAATCTAGTTTGTTGAATATGTGTTCTGCCTTATCTACTGTCGTGCTCACAAAGTTTTTGTATTTTGCTTTTATGTGTTCTTCTATGTGCCCTCATTGTTAGGATTTGTTAGTTGTTTCACTCATGGTTTATGACAAGGCCTTCTCTACAGTTGTTCGATTGGTCAATGTCAAGTATGGTGTTCTATGACTTGCTAGTCAAGTTGGGTATGCCAAATATCTTTGCCTCAACTTGAGGGGGAGTGTTGACGAGTCCTGACTTAGTTAGGATTTTGGTTACTTACCCATTTATCTAGTTCTATTATAATTGAGATTTATTTTCTATTGTAATTTATATTTATTTATTTTATTGTAATTTGAATTTATTTGCTATTTTATTTAGGATTTTACTTCTTTATAAAAGTAAATTTAGGTTTTAGCTATAAAAAAAATTCACTTTTGGAAAAAGCAAAAGTTTTTAAAAAAAAAACAGAAAAACATCTCAACTTTCAAACCAAAAACATGCAAATGTAAAGGATTCCTTAGGAAATCCAAAAATAAATAAGGGCAATTTTGTCCATTTTGGCTTTTTAAAAAAAAATTCTCTCTCCTTTAGCCTTTTCCAAAGAATAAAGATATGCGCATATATGAATATATGCGCTACATTGTTTGACAGTTAAAACGAGAGAGAGTGAGCTGTAGCCTAGCTACTTCTGTCACTGTGCAAATTGATAAACGAATATAGTAGCCGACTGCAAGAAAAAATTGGTATTTATTGGAAGCAGAGACCACGCCCTTAAAGCCCCCACCCCTAACCTAATGGCTCCTC